TGGCACGATTTTGCGGACAGGTGGTGAGGGAATGCAAAGGTGCTGCACCAAATGGCCCTTTCCCTCCCAGTCATGGCAACCATAGTTGATGTTGTGCTCAATCGTGTGAAGGAACGTGTGTGTGCACAATGCTGTAGACGTATGGGAGAAGTGAAGTTTGAGAGTGAAATGCGAGCAGAAATGAGGTGTGGAGGTGGGGAGACCGAATGTCCGAGAAAAGTGGAGAAGTGGCACCGAGTGTGAAGGAAAGTGTGTTCAATGTGCAGATGTGCTTGAACTGCAGCCATTGGCAGGTGGAATGGAGTGAGTTGGCAGTTGGGGCCAGTTGTGTAACCAAGTGGTCTTGCATGAGGGAGGAGTTACAATGAGGAAGGATGTGATGTGGGACGCACTGTTGCGTGGAATAGAATGCTGAAGTGTTGAAATCGACGTGCTGCAAGAGGAGGTTGGTGAGTGAGGGCAAGAGGGAGGAGCAAGGATGTTGATGCGCTGTGGTTTGAAGGCAAGGGTGGAGGTGGAGTCAGAAGGGAGGCTGTTGTAGGAGGAGGAGGAGGAGCGGCACCCTCTCCTCCACCATAATGCATTGAGCATCGTCTTGCTGATTTGCATTGTTCTTCTTCAGCACTCCTGCTTGCATTCACCTTGTTGGCATCGCTGTGCCCCATTAGCGTAGCTTTGGCTTGAATAATAAATGACAGTTACGCCTTTATGAATATCACATCTCGTTCCTAACAACATCTTTTCTACACAATGATTCCTCGTCGTTTACCATAGACCGACAATCACTATCGTATTAAATCCACTTTTCAGATTTAGTCCGGTGAAGGAGGCTAACTTTCTTAAAGCTTCATTCCTACTTAGTAAAGGTGGCCTGATTTCTGCAATCACTGTGTTGTCGATTGACGTCTTTACTTGTAGGGGAGGCTGTTGCACTATGCCTTGATGATCAAACTTCGATGATCACATTTGCTCTTGAAATCTCGCATATCAGCAGAAATTGCAGTGGGACTAAAAATGAATTCACACCTCATACTGGATAAACCCATATGCGGTTTTGTGGCAACGGCTCAGAGAAGAGGAATCCGTTCAAGAAGTGCATTCGCCTCCATCCACCAAAAAGCGTCATGCCTTTGCCGTAGTACCATTTCTTAGTCTAACAGAGATCTAAAAGTTGTTCTAACCTAGCTGGTTCGAAACAATCTGTCAATATTCAGTGGTAAAAGCTGCTTGACTCAGAAAGTAGGTTAAACTATTTTAGACAATGAGACCATTTTGGGTGCAGTGGGGAGGTTGTGTTAAAGTGAGTATCAACCCAATTTGCATAAGTTCCTCACAAATAGGACAAAACGTTTGTGGTTTTAGCTAAGTCCTTTGCGCTTGGCAAAGAAACGTTCTTTTTGCCTTCTAACTGGGAGGCAACAGATTTCACTCTCCATTGTTCCCGGCCACGTATTTTAGTCCAGCGAACAGGTCTTGAGATGGAGGCCTTTCTGCCTCTCTGGCTAGCATCACCCTTTACTACATGCCACACTCTAACAGCGGTTGCTTGCATTTCAACTTAAACCATCCATTCCCATCTCATCATAATTTGCTCTCCCATTCCGTCTTTAAAGCCGACTACTAGGTTTGAAGGCGTGCAACAAATTCCTGTCAAGCAGACCTGCTAATGCGACCGAGTTTGTAACTGAGTACAGTGAACCTAGCTCTCCCACCCAGCAAGAGGGAGGCAATGTGGACGACATTGCTTTGTCAGTGGAGATATCTTACAGATGCAGGTAACATTTGCATTCCCTCAGTCAATGGTGGCCTCAATTCTCGCATTGTTTTGCTGTTTCGATTGCAAGTAAACAAGCTATTTTAGGGCCTTGGACAAACCTATGTGAAGTATTTGGTATGACTGTGCAAGTGAACGTCCTTGACCAAATGCAACCGATCTTCGTTGACCTGTTAAAGTGTTTAGGGGCTAATGGATGGGGCTTTACGTTCCCTTAAGTGCTCACACCGCCTATGCGCTATCACAGTTAAACAGGCGTTCATACGAGCAGATCCCTCTGTAAAGTGATGCATGCAATAACGAACGAGACTAAAGCACTCATGCTCAGCATCAAGTGAGAGGTGTTGAGAGTCAAAAAACGGGGAGACGAATTAGGCGGAGGAGGAGGAGGAGCGTTATTATAGGTGGTCGGATGGCACTACCGTTTCATTGGTGTATTTTGGCCTTTATTACAGGGGTTTGGATAACGTTGAATGCACAGAAAGGCACACTTTTACGTTACCATTTTTTCGCTGTGCAACTTATGCATAAAGCAACAGCTTTGAGCAGTTGTTGATGCAATGCTTGGTTTATGTGACCGTACGATGGCTGCTGTTCCTTTGATGCTCGTCTTGCCCTTGTACACGTGAGCTGACCTTCGGGCTAAGCCAAGGCTCAGTCCCTTCTTATGGAATGTTAAGCTCATTTGGGCTCAACAACTCAAATTAGTACTAAGATGGAAGTCAAGCAATGTTTGAGGGACCGAACGAGTCGGTGGTCGTAAAATAATAACAGAAGATCCTTCAGTCATGGGACTTATCGAAGGAAGTAGTTTAAAAAATGCAAAGAAGGCTCAACGCAGTCCTTTAAGCGTATCACCAAAGCTGTCAATTCCTTTTATTAATGTATCAGCCGATTTGTGTTCACATGATTTTTCATCCGACTAAAAATTTGTGCTTCTGCTACAATCGAAGGCTGTTCCGAGGATGCGGCTTCGAATTTGCCTTTAAGGAGACCTCTAAACAAGCTCACCTTTTGTTACAGCTACCACTAGCAAATACTTCTTCTTTTTTATATCGTCCTGTCAGTTAACTAACTTCATAAAAATGTTCATCAAGGAAGTTACTTTACAAGGGACTGATATTTTTAACCTCTTTACAGTTGTCCCCTTTGAATTGTGACCTCAAAATACCAAACAACATAAACGATCAACTGAACATGCAATTCCTAGGAGCAATACAAACCGAATTTTTAC